ACAGCCACCGCTGCCCTCCGTCGACCACCGCCGACCTCCGTCAACCACCGCTGACTAGACATAGACAGGTGAAGTCAGTTGACGTTGTAATTTGGAAAACTAGTAACATTTTCCCGTCTGTGGGATAAGGGGCAACCGTAATCAACTTATAGTGGATTTTTACAACTGGGTCAGACCCCGTGATTTTTTCCCTTTACGAATTTTCCAAGTAAAAACTTCTGGTGTTATCACAGTTTGATTCATTTTCATCTGAGTGCGTGTTGAATCCTCACGCCACGCTAAGACGATAATCTTTTACTCTACCGCCACAAATTTTCTAGCACGCATCAAACCCAATAGTAAACACATATCCTAAACCCAATAGTAAACATATATCATCTAAATAATCTCTTTCTATCAAGATCAACAAAATCTAAATCAATCTCGTCAATGACTTTATCTATAGTCCTCCCGACCTACAAATAAACATCTTTTATTTGGCATAAATGCATGATGATCCACTGAACTGCTTTCAAATGCACCTTACCTAGATTACTCATATATATATGTTAACTGCACTTACTGCACATAATAAATCTAGATCAGAACATATAATAACATATATTAGAGATCACACTACACTAAAATATGGAACTCGAGATATATAACAATCTCATCATCTGATTGAGAACACAAAACTTATTAGAGTTTGAAATGCACAACATATGAGTACTAATAGGTTTAGCATTCTATATATTGAACCAACGCATAACTTTCTCATTGCATCCTTCATGAATTAAAATAACTTTCTTGTATGTTCATCACACTGAATCTCCATGTCAAATATTTTTTTTGAAGTTCTCGAGACTTTCATCTCAACTCATTATTAAGTTGAGCTCTTAACATCTTGACATCTTCTTTATTCTTAACAGCTATCAAAATATCATCAATATATAAGAACACGTAAATAAATGATCATAACTATTCTTCTTGAAGTAAACATAATTACCATAGTTGCTCCTCTTAAACTCATAAGCAATTATGAACAGTCAAATTTCTTATACCAGTACCTACGAGACTGTTTCAAATCGTAATGAAAATTTTTCAACAAACAAACAGGGATTTCTTTTCTTATAATCTTGAGGTTCATGGGTAGTTGCATATCAATGACCTCAAGCTTTCCATGCAAAAATACAGCCTTTACATCTAATTGCTCAAGCTCAAGATCATGCTTAGCCACAATGCCAAATAAAGCTCAAATTAAACTATGTTTGACCACCATAGAGAATACATTTGTCAATTCTACACCTAGAATTTTGACCGAATCACGTTGCAACAAGTATGGTCGTATATCCAAAATCCTCAATTCCTGATGTATTTTTATTTTTCTTAAAAACTCATTTATAACGAACAACTTTCTTGTCTTGAGATACCTTTACCAAAGCTCTAAGTTCTATTTTGTGTAGAGATTCAATCTTCTCTTGCATGGAGATCATCCATTTAATAGAGTAAACGGAATTAATTGCTTCTTTATAGCTAGAGGATTCTCATCACACGCAATGTCTTCAACTATAATTAAAGCATAAGCAACAAAATCAGCCTCACTATACCTCTGAGGCGGCTTAATTTCTCTTCTTATTCTATTCTTGGCAATAGAATGTTGTGATAGTTTCTATCATGGTGATGGAAAAACATCAACATGATTATCGGAATCCGAGTTAGATCTTGTATCAATATGAAGCTCCACTTGTCTACTAGACATCTCGTTCTGATTGTTCTCCTTATAGATTCTATAGTAGTTGTTGTGTGTATCATGATAGACTCAACAAATAGAACATCTCTATTAATGATCACTTTCTTGATTTCAGGGCACCACAACTTATAGCCTTTAACTCAAGTTTTATAACCGAGAAATACACATTTTATAGATCTGAGCTCTAATTTACTATTATTAAAATGAGCATATGCAAAATATTTAAAAAAAATTAATTGCAATAATTTGTAGGTTTACCTGACCAAATTGACTATGAAGTTTTTTTCTCAATAGCAATGAAAGGGGAGTAATTCACAAGTAACAAGTTGTAGAAGCAACTCAACCCAAAATGACTTTGGTAGCCCAGTGTTGAAGAGTATACAATAAAACTTTTCCATCATGGTCTTATTCTTTCGCTCCGCCACACCATTTTGTTGTGGTGTGTGTCTGACTGTAAAGACTCATAATTCTATCTGATTTACAGAAGAAATTAAATTCTCTTTAGCAGAACACCGACTCATTATCAATGAGAAGACGTTTAATATACTTTCTAATCTAATTCTTGATCATAATCTTCCACTTTTTAAAAGTGGTAAAAACACTATTTTTCTGCTTTAAGAATAAAACTCAATTTTTTTGGTCATATATTCAGTGTCACCTTCAAATAATACTATAGATGGTCCCTAAAAGTCGGAACATATGTGGTATAATATTTCCTTAGTAATGTGAATGCTGATATTGAACTTAACTCTTTTCTATTTTTCAAACACACAATGTTCACATAATTTTAATTTAGTAATGCTCTGACTATTTAGAATTTATCTTCTACTTAGTTCGATCATCTCATTCTCACTCATATGTCCAAGGAGCATATATGCCAAAATCTAGTTGTTTCACCATCTAACATAGAAGAACTGATAATGGTTGAATCACCTATTATTGTAGAGTCTGACAATACATATAGTCCAACAGTCTTTTATAAACTTCAACTTCACCAAAATACTTGTATCTTTTAACATCAAAAGATACTTAAGAAATTCCTTTTAAAATATGAAACATTTCTCACATCTCTAAGTGTACTAATGACTCAATCAAGCACATTGATTCTAACAATTACAACATTATATGTTACAAAGAGCATTGTTGTCGATTAACATAATATCCTTCAGCAACATTTCATATGTTAAGAACCAATCTTTGTTAGAACACATAAAACATGCATGCTAAATCAGACTCAATCATCACAAGATTCGCTATCAGAGATAACAAAGAGTTCAACATGACTAACAGTTTCTTCAATAACATTGATTTCACTAGAACGATATGATTGTTTGTTTTTCTGATTATAATTTGTTTTCCTTTTATAATGCAACTTGTAACATTCAATTTTAATGTAACTTTTTTTTTCTTACAGTAACTGCAGATGTTATCCTTACTTTTGAATTTTTATCTACTCATTTGTATCAACCCAGAACTCCCTTGATTTCTCCCTTGAACGAGAATATCTACTCCATGAGCAACAGATTCATCCATAAGTTGTTTTATCTTGGCCTTAGAAAATAAAGTATCATATATTTCGTCTAGAGTGTCTCTCACGCATATAAGATAATATCTCTAAATGTTGTATATGATGAGAGCAACAAATACAGCAGAATTAATGTCAAATTTTATTTATCATACTTAACTTCTAAAGCTTTCAAATAAAAGCCAATTTCTTTGAGCTAAACGATTTATAATAGATGCACCTTTCGTTATCCTGTGAAAGTGCAAATGTTGCTCCATGTGCAACTTAATGGCCAAACTTTTGGTTATGTATAATTGCTCTAATTTGACTCATAATGCAACATCGGCTTTCTCCATCAAATATCATGTAAAATATGATTTGATAAATGAAAATGAATTTGAGAAAGAGATTTTTTATCTTTACATTGTTTCTCCTTCAACATCCCTAATGAGAGCATCTTTTCAAACCCAAATAGTGTCTGCCTAATCCATTTGCACTAACACAACTTGTATCTGAAGATTCCACAACGAAAATTTGGTGTTGCAATCTAAAAGAGAAATGTCATCCTTTATTATTGTCATTCTCAATATCAAAACTTGTCTCCAATACCACAACTTAATATTGAATCAATGCAACCAATAATGAAATAAGCAAAAGAAAGAGCACACAGATTTTATGTGAAAAACATAAGACTGAAAAAATCAAAGCAGATAAGAATTTACCATATCAAATATGAAATTATAAATAGAAAGTTTCGGCTAACATAAAACTAAAAGAAGAGAATGTGAGTTCACTTGTACAAAACAAAATGGAAAAATTTATAGTTTTAGCAAAACCCCTTTAAAAAAGATAATTAAAATAATACACTAAAATAAGAGCACATGGATTGTAATCTAAAGGCTATTATTAGAGGTTTCATTTCGAGTCAATGGGTCATGTGGGGGCACAACCCAAAAATAACCCGACCCAAATAGGGTCAACCCGAATCGACCCAAATAATAAACAAGTTGAAAACTAAGACACGAACCGGAGTTTGAAACGCTAACCCGAACCTGACCTGAATTTTCGTACTTATTCGGGTCATGTTTGGGTTTTCAAGTTCAACCTGAACGTGACCCGAATAATAAACGGGCCGAATTCTTTGACCTGAACCAAACTCGAAAAATATTCAAGCAAGCTTAAACCAGATTTTTCGAGTTGAGTTCAAGTCGTCTTGACATGTCGGATCAATTTTTGACACCCCTAGCTATTATAACATTGATCAAAATGTAAAAGCATTCAATCACTGAGCTCTCAGTTTCTTTCAAAAGTTTCAATCGACGTGCTCACAGTTTTCTTCTAAAGTTTCAATTTGTGTACTCGTAATTTTCATATAAGACAAACGAAACCCATAAAATTCAAATCACCAATTTAACACATATCACACAATTTTTATGTATTTATATATCTAACACCCTTTCATATTTACACTTATAACACCTTAGTATCATAAACCTATGCATGAAAAGTGTATTTCACTTTTAGAAAGAAGATGATAGTGGTATTTTTGATGTGATGTTAAAGATTTGAGTGGTGTGCATGTAAATATGAATATTTAGGTGTTAGATATGTATTTAGGTGTTAGGTGTTAGATATGTAACTACATAACCATTGTGCAGTATGAATGTAACTGTTCCTAAAAGAAATCATTGCAGTTCTTTTTTTCATTATTTTAGTATATTTTTTAAAGATATTATTGCAGTTTATTCAAGATAAATGACATACCTTCCACAGTGATCCAGCATAGAATACTTCTGGAGAATGCTTCACCTGACCATCAGCAAGCCTATGGACATCTTCAAACTCCACCCTTTTATTAAATCAGAACAAAAAAAAAATTATATTAAAACTTATGTTCCATTTCTAATGAATGAAAATGAGCAGTAATTAGTAAAAAAATGCCACAGGAGAACAAATGTATTATAGTAATAAAGATCAAAGGTGAAGTTTTGGCTGACAACAATGGAAACATGGCAGCAAGCTGAAAAAATAATAATAAAGTTGGAGGCTTACTCGAAGAACGACATCTAGAGTATGACAAGCCAGCAATTTGTAGAAGGAATTACTAGCACTTGATAAGAACCAGAAATTAATAACAAGTAAAAGAATTTACTTTATCTTTGGCCTTACTGGACTTGAGAGCTAGCCAACGTCCAAGAAAGGAGACATTTTATAGATGGAGTAAGGGAGGGAGGGAGAAGGAGAATTACGTCGACTTAAAAGAACCATCATTCTCTCTTATGAAAACAATTTAGTGGAGAAATTAGGTGAATCAAACCACAAAAGGTCACGTAAAAATCAGTTTATAGGCATAAAATTCACAAATTTTAATCAAGCTTTGAATGTCAGAAACAATCCATATATTTATTTCAAATGATAGGAAAAACTATCATGTAAAAATGAATAAGCCATTTTATGTGGAGCAAACAATACAACGTGATTTTTTTTTTCAACGTTTGAGATGAGAAAATGATCTTAAAAAGCAATGTTGAGGATGCCAATATTTAAATTTGTTGCAACAACAACAGCAACAACAAGCCTTTATCTGGGGTCAGCTACATGAATCATTTTTCTCCATTGCGTTCAATTGGGTGTCATATTTTCATTTAATTCTAAAAAATTTATCTTTTTTTATACAATATGCCCAAGTTTTTCTAGGTCTACATTTGTCTTTCTTAACATAAATCAAATTTAAAATATATATTCTCCTAATCAGATCATCAGATGGTCGACGTTTAACGTGACCAAACAATCTAAGACGATTCTCTCTAATTTTGTCCGCCATTGGAGCTACACTAACGATAACACAGGTGTACGCATTCTGCATTTTCTCTAGTATTTTGTCCCTAAGTGTAAACCCGCTTATCCATATAAGCATTCTCATCCCGGCAACACTTAATTTAGTTTTATGCTTCTCTTTTAAAAACCAACATTCAACGTCATAGAGCATTGTAGCTCTCGCCACCATCTTATAAAATTTTCCTTTCAGTCTAAGCGGTACTTTTCTATCACACAATAGACCCGAAGCATTCCTACACTTCAACCAACCAACTTGAATTCAACTAATAATATCCCCATCTATATCACCATCACTTTGAACTATAGACCCGTGATATCTAAAGCGTTCACACTTTTAATAATTTGATCACCCAGAGTTACAGTTCTGTCATTAGAGCTACTATTAATAAAATTACATTCCATGTATTCAGTTTTAGTTCTACTCGTGAAGTCCAATGTAGACCTCCATAATTCAAGTTTTTCCTGATGTTTTTCTCTAGTGTTATCCACAAGAAGGATATCAAGAAGGATATCATTTGTGAAAAGCATAAATCAAGGTACATCCTCCTGTAAATGTCCAATAAGAGCACCCATAAATAAAGCAAAAATATATGGGCTTAAAACCGATCTCTGATGTAATCCAATTGAAATAGGAAAATATTTGGTCAATCATCCTTCTATTCGAACACAAGTAACAACTCTAGTATACATAATCATGTTGAAGTTAATATAAGCAGATGTCAGGCACCACACCTTCAGGTATTATTAATGATTAGACAAATGAAATACTACTCGCAATTAACACTGAATGATTTGTGAAATCAGTTCCAAAAAAAAAAAACCAAACAATAGCTTCAATGCAGTGGAAATGTTTATTATCAAATCCCAAGCTCATGCTAAAATGGATAAGTAGTTAAATATAGCAATATATAGCAAAAGAGAGAAGAAATTGGATGCGGTTATAACAGCAAACATAAGAATAACATCCATTCCATTCAATTTAATAAAAGAGAGCATGCATAGCAATATCCATAGCCAGGTATATAAGGATCAAATTTCCATATTCATAACAAAGCATGCTTAACATACGAAATCATAGAAAGTGATCATAACAATAACTAGCAGATCCGTTATTTCAAGTAATTTTCCCATAAAGCTTGCCAATCTTTCACTATTTGCCTAGAGAAACTTTTGCACATTGTAAGCAACATAATATCAGTTTCCATGTAGAATTCATGAGAGTGGATTACAAAAGCAAAAGTCACAGCACGTAGCATTAATAATTTTGGGCATTTTACATACATAGCACGCAATTCTAATGTATTTATATATCTAACACCCAAAATACATTTTTAACATGAATACTACCTTACCTAGGCATGAAAAGGTTGTATTTAACTTTTTTTTAAAATTTAGAACAGTGGTGCTTTTTTATGTGATATGAAAGCTTTAGATGGTTCAAGTAAAAAAAAAAAAAAAGAAGGTTTTAGATAGCAAATACAAAGGAATTGTGTGGTGTGCATGTAAATGCTCCTATTAGAAAACATATATAGGCAAAGCAATATTGATGAATGGAAAAAAAAAACTCTACCCAAAGCGGAACGAAGGAAAGTCGCGGAGCGGTGTCTTATGATCCAGCGATATAGACCCATCCGTAGTTTCACAATCTATCCCATCTGATCCTAAAATCTGAACTGGGAGTGCATTGGAACTTAAGCGAGCATTTCCAGCAAATCTGCCCTGCAAATCTTCTTCATAAACTCTTTCAGTCTGTTCAGTCTGTACATTAACAGAATTACTGCCTTGGCTAAGACTAACAAGGGCAGTCAAGCCATCCCCTGATAAATCACCATTAAAATCAACTCGAGGTTCTGAATCATCATTGGCTAAAGACTGCTGACAATTCCTGTTTCCTAGTCCAAAAGGAACACGCGAAAATACATAGCGGGTGGGAGGCCAAGCTGATCCAGAGGGGTATGTTGCTCCTCTCCCTATGCCAGCGAGGCCATCAATGGAACCCCGTACATGGACGCGTACAGGACCAGACGTGCCATGGCTTTCAGCTTGAGACTCTGCCATGTGGACATTCCCCATACATCCAGAAGAATTGCCCCTATCATGGCCTTGCTTACAGTAACCAGTAGCACTACCTCCATGAGAATATTCACAAGGCTGTCTACAAGAACAAAAAATTTCTGCAAAACAGCAATTTTTGCCATTATCGGCTGCTATCTCTTGCACCCTTTTGCAAAGAAGCATCTGCATCCACGAGTTAATCAAACTTGACTCTCAAATCTTGTAAATATTATGAAGTGTCAAAATAGTCCCCGACTATTTACATTGGGCTTTCATGGTCCCACAGTCTATATAGGTGTCAAATTAGTTTCCAAATTCTTTAAATTGGGGTTCTAATAGTCCTCCGTGAGGACTGCTTCAGTCCTAATTTAAAGATTCTGATGATTAATTTGACACTTTTATAGACTATGGGACCCAAATGACCCCATGTAAACGGAGGGGACTATTTTGGCACGTTGTTCTTATACTAAGAATAACCATATTTGTTAAAAATTATAAAACTCACTTGGAGCCAAAGGCCATCGTTCACAGCTCTGCAAGGAAATCCTAATTCCTCCAGTTGTTTTCGAACACTCAACAGTGCCTCGAAGGACATACTGCAATATAAAATTGAACCTCCTTCGAATATATTATGAAATGCATCATAATCTTCTCGGCGAACACCACAATTACCTTTGGAACTCTTAACTTGTCTTCTACCTACTGTCCTACCACCCCACAAACAAGGCGAATTGCATCTTCCCCAATCATTGGAACTTGCTACATTAGTAGAAGAGGTAGCAGAGAATTTATTTTGATGATCAACAGAAGACCAGATATTACTATTTATTTGGTAGCAAGAACTTTCTCCTGAAGGCCCTTCCATGGCTAACTGACTGCTATACATTTTGTTCGCTTCGTTGCAATTTCGAATTTCGACGTAGGAACGAGATTGTCTATTTAAGTTAGGGTCGGAGGTAGAGTTCAAAGAAGATGATTGCTGCATGTTGATGGAATATCTAGGATCAAGCCATGGCTGAGAAACCATGGCTTGTTGCAGTTGCAGAGGCTTAGAATAAGGAGCATCAACATGGCAATCTGAAATCCCAACCACATTATTTTGAGTAGCTTTACCTCCATCTGAGCCATCATGTATGCTCATTTGTTTTGTTCCCAACTCTATGAGATGTTGACCAGGGATGTTACAAGTTAAAATATTCTCGTTCAGCAAAGAACATGCGGTGGGGTTTATTTTAAGTTCGGAATCTGGAATTCCTTGTTCAGAACTGTCTGCTTCAGAGAGAGCGCCTTTTGCGAGTAATGCGAACAAAGCTAGTTCAAACCTTCAAATAAAACATCATTATAGGGTCAAAAACTTTGGTAGAACAAAAACAGAGAGTTGAAGTAATAGAGTTGAATGTCGAAGAGCGAGAACACCTTTTCTCCTCATTAGGCACCCATAGTTCATCGGATGTAAGCAGAGCAAGTAAAGTTTGAGAAGAAAGTTTTGGGAGCACCTATACATGATGGTGAAATTTTTAGTCTTTCAGTAAAGCTAGAAGAGGGAAAAAATATAACTTTAAAAGCTTCCAGGAATAAATATCACTAGACAGAACATACATTCAGATATGAATCAGCCTTTCTCTCTTTTTTTTTTTAAGCATACCAAAATCCCATGATGATTTTACCGTGACCTAAATAAAACCAAGCCTTATAATTAGACAAAGATTCTTCCATCTTATCACTATAAATTTCTTTCAGCCAAGTAATTCTGGATAGATGGCATAATCTTGAAGATTTGAACATCTAATTTGTCGGAACTCATAAAAGAAGGTAATGATAGAAAAAGCAAAGAACTAGGCATCAAAAAGGAGGTGAAAATGGAGGCTTTTGATGCCAACTAGGAGAACTAGAAGCTAAAAAAGCCAATCACTAAGAGATTTGACTTTGTTTTCAGCAAAACAACTTAGTATATCCATAAACACAGTCCCGTCTATCTAAGTCCTATCACTAACATACAGAGAGAACATTATGAGGTACAGTGCCTGAACTACCCACTAACACATTATGGGGCTGTCTGTAATGGATTTAAAGTGGGATTTAGCCTAAATCTGCCATACATAAAAAAGGGCAATTTTAAATCTAATATTTAGTAAATCTAATTTCTTCTCAATTCCTTTTCAGTTTTTGTTTTAAATTATGGATTTGCTAAATATTGGTGTTGACAGGATTTAGTAAATCTGGGCTTACAAGATTTACTAAAGCTGTTACCAGACAACCCCTATAAGGATTGACATCTAAATGCTCAAATAATATAAGATTAAAAAAAAAAGATATAACGTGCTAAATCAGGGTCAACTCGACCTATGGTCATCCTGCATACTAGTACCACTTCCAGGTAACTCATAAAATGCAACCATATCACGCTTTTCTGAAACATTGCCCACTATATAGCATACGATGGCATCAAGTACAAAAGTCATTTTAGCTGAAAGTCTAAAATTTTACACTTCCTTCTTAAATGTCAGACAATAAATGAGATCTGATAAATCGAAAAGCTGGCCTTTGCACCATTGTTTGTTTACTTGTAGCAAAATATTTTTTTTATGTACTATTGTCATATCTTGAATAAAATGAGGACAATGACAAAAAAAATACTATATATATATATATATATATATATATATATATATATATATATATACTAACATCTATGGTAATGTTACACATAATAAGTAATAAAGAAAAAAAGCTTTTTGCATGCATTGAGAACATTACAAAATACCAAATTTCTTACCTCTCTCAATTCCATCGTCCCACTTCGACAAAGATACCCCCAACATGCATTTCTGACACGTTCTCCATGTATACCATAATCTTGACTCTCAGCAAAAACCTAATCCAAAAAAACTACGCGTGATTTAAGATGCAATGGTGAAGTCTCGAGTAGCAGCAGAAATTTTTAATCTCCATAAACAATTCAAAAGGGCAAGATTTTACCTGATACGTCAAAAAGTTTGAGGTCCACAGCTCAGAAATAATGAAATCAGTACAGATTGCACACAAATCCTGTAAAAAAAAAAAACAATATTATGTGACCAAATTCTGAATATATAAATGGCACATTAATAGGAGCTTTTCAAGCAAGTAGTAGAGTTACCTGAAGGTCAAGAAAAGAAGCTGCTGCAAGAACTCTGAATGCATTATCGTCATTAAGCTTTGGGTGGTGCCCATATAAGTATGCCAAGGCAATATTAATTGCCTCAGAGTTAACATTAGGATCATCTATTTGCAAGATCAATTTTGGAGCAGCTGCCTCCTTCCATGGACCATGAAGCATGTTCCTACCAGAGAAATGCAAACAATCAAGTTAAAGAAGTATTTGATATGAATTTAACAATGAGGGCAAAATGGGTTCCGACCAACATAGGGTTTGGATGGGAGATCAGATAAAAGCAATGCGAATCGGATCACCCATGATTCGAAATCCAGAAACATGCTCTTCAATCTAAGAAGCGAAGAGCAAATGCTCTGCATTTTTGCACTATCACAGATTGCCGGCAAATCGGGCTGGGTAAGGTCAGTCTTATACAATACATCAGGGAATCAGCTACTCGGGAAACTGTAGAAACAAGAAATCAAAAATCCAGAAGTCCGCTACTAAAACAGGGAGGGAACGGCGCATATTGAATGTAAACCAGATGGAAAATCAGGATAATTTTCATAAAATCAGATACAGCGCAAAACTCGAAAAGCATTCAAGAAGCAAACAACTTTATCTCTCCCACAGACTCCATCGATCCAAACAACCATGAAATTGAGGAAACGGGAATAACCTGAAGTAGGAGCTTCGGGAGAGGATGAGGCGATGGAGGAGATAGTTAGAACCCATGGTCTGGACCATAACGTCGGAGAATGCACCGGAGTTAAAACCCTCCATCTGAATGTGGTCACAAAGGGAGGCGAGATTGCAGTCCATGGCCCTAAGCTCGATGCCACTCCGGTCATTATCCGACGTCTGAGTCTGAAGGGGTCCCGGCAGCTGCTGCTTCTGCGATTGCGGCGTCGCCGTCGCCGGAGAGACCATCATCTTCTATGATGTGAAGGGTAGCAAACTGCGCCGCAGAGGAGAACGAGAATCACGCTTCTTCCAATTCCGACGAGGCAGACATCGTTCGAGATGGAATCGATATATGAGTATCAGATCGGATTGGAAGAGAGAAGATGGAGGAAGAAGGGCAAAGCGAGTAGGGAGTAATGATGTGGCAGAGGAGAAAAATATTAAGTATGGTTGATGGTCAATTTGTGTAATTTATCCTCTTCAAAACTAGTATTTATATAATTATATTTTAAATTGAGATTGTTTTATTTAACAATCATTTAAAATATTATGTTTAATATTTTTTATGATTGTTATGAAAAAAAATAATTTAAATTATTGAGTAGTAAATTTATTTATTATAAATTTCATGATAAAGATAAAATAAGATATAATTAGGGTTGCATTTGTCTTATCTGATGTGGACTGGACTTAGCTTGGTCATATATTAGTAGTTCAAGTAATGTTTTACCTTTTTTAATGATTGTATTTGTATTTGTCTTATTTCTAGTAATTAAACAAGTATTTCAATGAGTTGATATAGAAGTTAAAAATTCGAACAGAGTATCTTACTTTTCATATAAAATTATTAACAAATGTTTTACAAGTCTAAAGAAGTGATTTAATAAATTCTCGATTAATCTATAAGTTCTTTTAGGCTAATTAAATAAAATAATATATAAAGCGAAAGAAAATTTTCATATAATCAAGTGACATATATACTAATAAACTCTTTCAATATATTTAAAAAATGACAAAAAACTTATATTTACTACACCCTCAACCACTAGGTTATGAGTAAATACATACTTCTGCATAATTATATGTGTGCCTACAAATCATTAAAATTTTAAAAAGTAATTTAATGATTATATTAAAGTCTTAATATTGTATGAAAATCCAGCACACTCATAAAATAAGAACTAATATAAGAGACATCAAGATTTTTACATGGAAAACCCAAAAATAAATATATAATGAATCTTAGCCTAATTGAAATGATTCCATTCTTAATATGTAAGTTACAAGACTTTGTTAGCCCTTGTATAACATAAAAGGAATATTATAATAGTAGGAGAAATAAACTTAACTTTTTTGGAGGGGTTAGAGAAAATTTTGGGAAAGTGACACTCAACTATGACAAAGGAACACTAATAGTATTGGTTGTGTATGGCGATTAGGATTCAACATCACCGAAGGTGGTGTTCGCTGGGTAATAGTGATCTAGCAATATTAGTAGTGATAGCCAAAGAATGATGATTTGATAATGGTAAGTTGACAATGAATGTGCATCGTGATGGCAACAGAGGCAGAGAGATGACGATCCGATGACAATGATGGTGCATTACAATAGTAGTGGTAATCGGGCCACAATGACCTAGCATAACGGTGGTCAAGAGATGATAATTTAGCATTCAAACAACTGAGAGATAATGAACCGATGATGGCAACAATGTACCAGAACAAAGGTGATTATTCGATGTCAGTTTTTCCAACATAGCGATAGTCGAACGATATGATCCAACAGTGATGGTCATATCTCAGCTACGATAGCCTGACAACGGCAAGATGTAATGATGGTATCATTGGCTCGACATCAGTCATGCGACTGTGTTCTTATGGCGATGACAACCCAAAAACAGTGGTCCGGGATAGAGTTGGTGGTCCAGTGATGGCAGCCCGACGAAGGTGGTTCGGCATGATGGTGGTGGTTAGATGATGACAATCTGATGGTGGCAGTGATACTAGTCGGGGGACGACGGGATAGTGAGACGGTGGTGAGCTAACTTTAGGGGCCTCACACGGTGATGGTGACTCTACATTGGCCTGGTGATGAAAATATTGTTGGTGGGCATAACGATAATGGTTGAGCAACGATGGAATGACTATGGCGATAACCAAGCAACAATGGTCTGATAGTGGTGATGATGGTGGTCAAGCAGTGATAGTTCGAAGGCGGCAAAGGCTAGCCAACGGTGGTTCGACGGTGGCAACAGTGGTGGTCAAGCATCGGCGATCAAGCTGTGTCGTCGGTGGTTGGCCAACAATGGTCTAATAGTGATGGCGACAGCCATGCAACGACAATCTAGTGGAGGCTAAGCAATAGTGGTCCAAGGGCAGTGGTGACAACTACCCGATGATAGTGGCAGCAACGCCAACGACAAATAAGCAACAACAGTCTAGTGGCAACGTTGGTGGTAGCGTGACAACGGTGGTCATACAGTGGCAAAGCTTGGGGTTCAACCTACTTCTTCAAGTCCTAATCCTTCTTAAAAAAGAAAATGGTCTATTTATAAATTTTGTGAGTGACATCCTCCGTAAATTTTACATGAATATAGGTCGCTCAGTCAAACGACCTAAAGTAATCTCTTTGATCTCATGATACAATAATGATGTCATAATTAAATGATTTTGAATTTATTGAATTCATTTATCTAGTCCAAACACTTGATTCAACTACAAAATTGTCATATTTGAAGATCAATCGACCCCAAAATATTTGTCTCAATCTGAACCGCCTGTGATGTCAGTTGGCCTGTCTTATTGACGGCACAATTTGAATTAGAGTGTAAGCAATTAAATATTTAGAGATATTGGTCCTAATGTGCATCGAGATTTGTACTTGATTAAAATACATTTTATAGGATGTATTAACCACCATTTATAATATTTTGGAGATTTTGGCAAAAATAAATAGTTTTTTTTTCAATTATCGAACACTTTTCAAACCTATCAATATCTCACTAAGTTGATATTTAGGGTTTAGAAAAAAAACCTGTAATTGATATTTAGCTGTTATTATACAAAACAATTCTTAGTTATTTATATATCTAACACTAAAAATTTCATATTTACATTAATAACTCTTTGGTATCATAAATTTCAACTTTTTTAATAATTATAATATTTCTATGTAATAAATAAAAAATTGAGTGTTATTTATATAGAAAAAAAGAAATTTTAGATGTTAGATAAAGAAATACATAAAAAATTATATTACATACATGAATGCCTGTAATTGACCATCCAGACGACCGGATTGCTAGTCTGGACGGACAACCACCGTGTGTCATGTCGCCATACACTACATCGGCGGTTGATGTAGCACCTGTAATTGACCGTCCAGACTGCTCGTCGGGACGGAATATTTTTTCCTCACCCCTCCCATCTTAATTTCATAATAGTTTAAACTTTAAACCAAACTAAATTAACATAAATATTCCTTTACTATTGACATGATCAAAGAAGTTCACATTACTGACAGCGTTGGCGCAATACACATTTTCATACATATATAAGATGACAAGTAAAACTCAAAGAGGTTAGATACATAAATCCATATGAATTGAGTGGAATGTTTACAAATCTCTCATAATATTATAGGTAAATGGATGTCTCTACTTCAATGACCAGTGTTATAAACCAAGCATGGGCCCCACAAGTTCAAAAAAAACATTTTTGTGCATTTTCATACAAAACTATCACCAAAATATTACCTTTTTTTTTCTTTTTTTTACATTTATACCGCCCAAACCTTTGATATAACATAAAAAACACCACCATTCTATTTCTCAAATTTCACTCAAACATCAAAAGTCATGGTTAAAACCTGATCCTTATTTTTCATTTGTATCAAAATCTCAATAGTTTAATCGTGGCACACATAAATACATCAATTCAGTAGTTCAAAAAAATCACCCGGGCGGTTAATTTGTAAATATCAATATTTCGGGTGGTCTGCATGCAATCATCCCAAAAAGAAAAAGAAATAATAAGCAAACTTAATCAAAGTAATCATTTTCCAACATATCAATACTAAATCTGAATCAATATGATCACTACAAGAGAGAAATACAAACCCAACAGAACTGAATCAGACTAGAAAACAAAACTGAAATAAAGCAAAAGTTAAAAAGGCATGAGTTTCAGAACTGTTTCTTTCTGCAACATCTCTATACCTCAGACAAGAAGAACACCATTGATGCAGCCATCATTCTCTGGATTATTGGTCACTTGTGCATATTTACCTGGGTTTGATACAGACAATCAGCTCGCAAAATTATGTTTATAGAATGAGCGATCGAGAAAAAAAAAACGATAAATCGATCGAGTTCTCCGTACAAATTCAGCTTCAAAATGAGGTCTCTTTTGGATTACCTTGCAATAATCAACATGCAACAAAAAAAAAGGGCTTTTACTTGCATACATACCACACAATTCTTATATATTTACATATATAAAACCAAAACTTCCATATTTACATAAATTTCACTTAAATTTTTGAGATTACATAAAAAATACCACTAACTAGCTTTTGGGGGCATTTACATATATATCACACAATTCTTATGTATTCACATATCTAACACCTAAACATTCATATTTAGGTGCATACCACTCGAATCTATTACATCTAATCAAAAGTACCAGCATTGCTATCTTTTGAAAAGTAAAATATGTATTTTCACATACATGTGTAGATATGTAAATACATAAGAATCGTGCAGTTTGTATGTAAATTTTCCTAAAATTTTAAAGGTGAAATACAACATCTCATTCATAGGTTTTAGCACAAAAAGTGTTATAGATATAAATATCAAACTTTCGATGTTAGAATGAATATTATGGATATGAGATGGATTTTAGAGTTCTCAGGTGCATCCAAAAAGTAAATTCAAGAACAGGGCAAGTTATTTCTTCTAGCCTTCAGTTGAAAAACGCCATCCTTCCAAGTACCCATCAAATTATAAAGAAAGATTTACATGTATATGTCATATAACTCTTATCCATTTACGTATATCACATATTTATATTTATAATCTTTATTTATGCATGAAATGATATAATTCAAGGTTAAAATTTTAATAATAATGATATTATTTTGTGAAATTACAATTTGAATATTATATATGTAAATATTAAAGTTTAAATGTTTAGATATGTAAGAATATAAAAATTGGATCTTTATTTTCTAATTTATTATACTTAATGCCAGTGATAAAAGTCCTATGAGTGGGACTTCTGGTAGTACTGTGAAGAGCTCATCTAAAATATTTTGCAACTACGAACCATCCATAAATAAATAACGGTCCAATTTACCATCTTTCATTTTTCATCAATTCTCAAAGACAACTCCAAACCAATACTAAAATAAGAATCACAAAATATCCTCATTTTTGTCACTCATACGAATGTTTGAAAAGTAGCAGAGACGGAAATAAAAAGTGGAAAAAATAGTGTTTACAAGTGGATGGAAGCTTATATTTATTGCAAATTTTTTACATCTAAGAGAGAATTTGAGAGTGCTTGTATAAAGAGAAAGGCTTGGAGAAAACCTCTAGGGATTTGTTTGGGATGAATTGTGAGATAAGTTGTTTCTTTTATTTCTTTTGTTTAGTAAACATATTTTTATATATGAAATCCGTATTTTATCGTACCCTTCTCATGAATTCTGAGTAGTCTTATTTATACTTCTTCCTACTTTGAGATATGGTTTTGTGAAGAATTGATTTTCTTTTATATGGTTCTTAATGTCGATAAATTGTGATGATTTGAACTCTGAACTTTATTTACCTTTCGAACTGACCAAATGAAATGTTAAAATGTGTTGAGAAACATATGTTCCGAAAGAGCTATGATTTCTATAGCATGAGGAGAATCACATTTGATTTCATGAGAGAGTATTTTATTCATGAAATTGGGTGCAAATAAATTGGGAAATATACTTTGTTGGATGCAGAATTGGAGATTTTAGGTGACAAATTAAAATCTTCAATTTGATTCAGTTGATTGGAAACTGGTGCGAGATTGTTAGCCCTCAGGTGAGAGAGAAGTGGGAGCTCTGAAGAGGCAGCCGGTATCTTTCCAGGCTAACCACAAAATTATGTATCAAACTCTAGAATAATCAATATTCTTTATACACTCGAAAAATGGTAAAGAATAGGATTGCTCATATTTGACACAAAATAGTTTTCATATTTATTTTCAAATGATTTTAATTTCTTCACAATACATATACTCATTTTAATGGTAAAGAATATTTTCTTAAATTTAAACTTTCCGTCACAAAAGCTTTGTTAGTTTTCATAAATATGAATGTTTTCATATAAATTATAAACATTCATATTTAGGTGCATACCACACAGATCTTTTACATCTAATCAAAAGTACCAGCATCGCTATCTTTTGAGAAGTAAAATATGCATTTTCATGTACATGTATAGATATGTAAATACATAAGAATTGTGCAGTTTGTATGTAAATTTCCTAAAATTTTAAAGGTGAAATACAACATCTCATTTATAGGTTTTAGCGCAAAAGTGTTATAGATATAACTATCAAACTTTCGATGTTAGAAATGTAAATACATAGGAAATGAAAAATTGAAAGGAGACGATGGTGCTTACCCCACACTACTTTTCCTGCAGGAGTGACCAGTCCAAGCTCGCTCACATTCACCTGTTAATTTGATTATTAGTCAGTACATACTCCAAGAAAAATTGAAAAAAAAATAGAGGATAGACATAAATATCATTGAATCCTTATGTGTTTATATGACTAAAACTTATGAAATTTATATTTATTTAACACAACATCCTCCTGATTAAATCACAGCACAATATATGCAAATATATATATAAATTAAAAAAAAAAGGCATTTACATATCTAGCGCCTAAACTCCAATTTTTACATTTATAACATCCAAATATTTCGTATCACATAAAAAATAACATTATTTTAACTTTTAATAATGAAATACACCTTTTCATGCAAAGTTAAGATGGCATGTTTGTAAAAATTGAAGTTTAGGTGTTAGATATGTAAACACATTAATTGGTATGCATGTAAATCTTCAAAAAAAGGGGGCATTTACATAGAGACCACCCAATTCTGATTTATCAACATATCTAACAGCTATACTTTACTGTTTTTTACATTTATAACACTGACATCTTTCATATCACATCAAAAGTACCACCATTTTTAACTTTTAAAATGTGAAATAACTTTTTCATGAATAAAAAAGGCGTTATGCATGCAAAAAATTTGAAATTTAGGAGTTAGATATGCGAATACATAAGAATTGAAGGGTCTGTATGTAAATTTTCCCAGAAAAAGGTATATACCTCAATGACAGTTCCTCTGGTTATGACACCCAATGAGGTGTACATAGGACCATTAGGATTTTTCTTGACTCCAATTATTTCGAGATTGAAAGTACATTTTAGTTCAGGGTGAGTCACATGAGCTTTCGTGAACCGCAAACCGCTCGGACGAATAAATCGCTCATATTTCGGCGGCTTTCTCGTGAAACCGGGTCCTACAAATGTGGCTTTCGTGACCATTCTCTTCCATTGCTTTGCTGCACCACAAAATTTAGCGAGTTGAAACTCATTTTAGATGAACAATGGAACAACAGGGATAAAAACTCAAAAAAATTTACCAAAAGAAAATTAGTATTTGTATCAAATGCAGCATAGGATTAAATGGATAAAAGAAAGTTACAGAATTCTAAGAATAAATATTGGATGATTTACATACTCAATTCCTATGTATTTACACATATAACACCTAAACCTCATTTTTTTTACATACATACCATCTTGCCTATGCATGCAAAGGTGCACTTCATTTATTAAAAGTTAAAACAGCGGTATTTTTTTATGTTATATGAAAGATTTTGGAGGGCATAAATGTAAAGAAGTGAAGTTTATGTGTTAGAAATGGGTGGTATGTATGTAAATGCCACAATAAATAAAGATTCATAAACAGCCTAAGAATTGTTGGAATTTCATTAAGTTCTTCTCGCCTTCTCCTTACTTTGAGTTTAAAATCCCAACATCATTTGCAAAAATGACATTGAAGTTGAAGGAAGTTCGTTCCTGAGGAATCATTTTGGTGCAATTTTGCAAAGTTGAGGGACTAAACTGGAGAAATTTTGGATACTATTTTGAAGTTAAACCCTAAAAGGCTATGGTGTAGTGTTTAGTAGGCCATGGGTAACAATGTACTTTTCTCCTATCATGTATGGCATTGGAAACGAAACTATGGATTTCATTAAAAAAAAAAAAAGATAAGTATTATTACAATGGAAGATTTACATACATACCGCTCAATTCTTACATATTTACATATCTAACAGCTAAACTTCATTTTTTTCATGCATACTACCTTACCTAAGCATGAAAAGGTGCATTTCACTTTTTAAAAGTTAAAATGGCGGTATTTTTTATGTGATATGAAATATTTGGGTGGAATGAATGTAAAAAATAAAGTTTAGGAGTTAGATATGTAAATAAATAGGAATTGGGTGACGTGAATGAAAATGATCCAATTATAATTAAAGGGTATTACCATATCTAGCACTTAAATCTCATGTATTGATAAAAATAAAACTCAGATGGTTCAATCTATAATATTAACCCCAAATTTAGAAGGGCACGGCAACACTTGAAACCTTTCTTGCCATCGATTTATTAAATTCAACCTATAAAGTTTGCTTTTCACTTTAAATCCGTAAGTAAGGTCTTTTTTTTTTTAAGAAAAAGCCAGAGGCTAGCATTCGAGCCTCCAACCACTCCTAATGTGCCTAACAATTCGAGCACCACCTCCTTAAGGCTCACGTCGCCAGTGGGGATTCGAACCCCCTACCTAAAAGGTCTTATACCGAGGATGTCAACCAACAGACCGGGGTACGCGGCACCCATAAGTATGGTCATATAAATTAACAGATTTTGATGGCATACTAACAAATATATTGTCATAGATGGAACATAAAAAATTGAAATTTCATTAAAGATCACTACAGGCTTTGAAGCATTGATTCTGATTTATGAAAATGTAGTTTTTCATCGGAAATTTTTTGACATATAAAAAAAACTAAAAATTCTTACTTTTACGCTTGCCAGATCGTAGTACTTTAAACATTTCATCTTCAGCAACAGGCCTTACCTGGTAAGCAAGAAGTTATCAAATGGAGATGCCAAAAAAATATAAAAATATAAATTACATGTCTGTGTGAGACAAATTTTGTATGAAATTGCATGCTCACAAACATACAAACATCAAAATGTGTATGATAGAACAATTAAACGACATTTACATACATAGCACGCAATTAATATGTATTTACATATCTCACATTTAAACTTTCATATTTACACACATAGTATTCAAATCTTCAATTTCACATCAATAATAGCACTATAACCACTTTTTAAAGGTGAAATTGCATAGGTTTAAGGCACTAAAGTGATATATATGTAAATATGAAAGTTAGGTGTGAGATATGTAAATGCATAAGAAATATGTAACAGATGCGTAAATTTCCCAGCAATTAAATTCGTTGAAAACTTTTAAACACGAACCTCAACGGCAAACTAATAGTATAATAAATTAAATATGGATGCTATAACTAAGAAAAACATACTTTTGGTAATAGGACTTCCCATAAATTAAATATGGATACTATATCCAAGAAAAACATACTTTTGGTAATGGGACTTCCCATTTGCCAGCTTTCTCCTTCCTCTTTTGCTTAATTGTATTGCTCAAAACCTGGGCAGAAAAGACAAAACATTAAATAAGTGTTTTGTGGCCATATAATATGCATGATGCGAGCATTAACAAACAATTAATATTCTGAAATTGTTAATTTACTTTGGCTCGGGTAGTGGTATCGCGGTCCAAAAGATAAGCAGGAATAATGGCCCCATCTTGAACGTTATCATCAACCTTTCGCCTAGTTGTCGACTCATCGTGCATAGCGAGCCTGCAAATTTCACAAAGAAAATGATTTTTTTTTTTTTTTTTTTTTGCAAAAGTTTTTTTAAAAAATGAATAAAGGTGAAAAAAACACCAGCAAAGTTGCAAAAACCTTGAAACAGTACATAGATATTATAGCCAATTAAATATTTACATATTTATGATGGACACTAAATGTTATACAACTAATTGAGAGTGTAAAAAAAACTCATCGTTCATGAATCGCATGTCCAGCTTGCTCTCAAGCTTAAACAGATATTTCGAGCAGTTTTTCTTAACTGAGTCATAAACAATTACACAAAAAACATGTTCTATCTACTTTAGCTCATTAAGAATTTGAATATTTGCATGTTCATGAATACAAAATTTGAGTCGGACATGAACCTTACAAGCTGAAAGCAAAAAAAAAAAAAAACACAAAGAACATATGGTTTTCGAATATAATAAAACATAAGGCGAGCTTGAACCAAGCAAAAAACAAACAAGTTAAGCTTAAATGTAGGGCAAAATACGACCACGTGTCCCCTTAAGACTAATAGTGAAGTCTGGATCTTTATTCGATACTAAAAACTTAAGGGACCATTTGGGATAACTTTTATTTTTTTTTATTTATATTTTTTTTAATGTTTTCATTTAAATTAAAACATATGAAATTGATGCAACTGTTTTTAAAAACACTTGAAACATATTTTACGTTTGTGTGTGTGTGCGCACGCAATAAAATATATTTTTTAAATGAAATTTGTTGTAGTGCATTAAAAGAAACATTAATTTACATAAACCAATCATCATTATACTTAAGATAAACATCTCCAAAACTAGATGATAAAGTTGTACATGTTAGTGATAATTTTACTTGATGGCAGTTATAACCACTAGTTGATCTTTGAGCAAGTACACCAATTTCCTATGTATTTATATATCTAACACCAAAATTTTTCTTTACATTTATACCACCAAAACTTTTATATCAAATGAAAAATACCACCATTTAAACTTTTAAAAAGTGACATAATGATATTTATATAAAATTTTAAGTTTAGGCATTATGAATGCAAATGCATAGGAAATGAGTGGTACTATGTAAATCTTCCAACGATTTATCTTACTTATTCTCTAAGATTTCAAACTGATTGAACTTGAATTCAATAAGCAACATGAACTCAAATAGAATTTAAGTTTGGCTCAATTTGGTTGAATCAAAGTGGAAATTATTTAACTTATTCTTGACTGAATTTTAACAATTTAGAGAACTAGCCAACCTGAGTAGCCTAAGTAAACTCATTGTAAACCCGCGTTAGTTCAGCAAGAATTCGAAACAACAATAATTTTGGTGGTCAAAAGTTTTCTTTTAGAAGAGAATGTGGAAGAGTTTAGACTAAGTAGTAAACCAGCAACTAAAAGTGAAATATGATAGAAGAAGTGAAATGATAATTGAATATTTGATCCTCTAGGGCTTTCAGGTGTTGGACTAAGGGGGTGTCTGTTAATAGATTTAAGTTGGATTTAGCCTAAAGGCGGTGTTTAGTAGCCTATTTTTAGATAGATGACTGTGTTGATTTCACATAAATCCACCACACACAATTTCAGGGTCGATAAATCCTTCTGTCTATTACATCTAAAAATTCCTATGGCATAACCTAAATCCGGATTTACTAAGTCCAATCCGGGGGGTGGATTTAAGAGAATCGCTTGCGTCTTATCTCCCTGTGTTAAATCCTGACATAATATGCCAAACATTTCTTATGAACTTAAATGGATTTAACTTAAATAATACCAAACATAATTATGGATTTAACAAATCCAGATTTATCGAATTTAGTAAACCTACTTAACTTAAATCCTAAGTGCAGCCAAACACCCCTTAAATCTTGTCACACACAAAAAAATGACAACTTTTAAATCATGTATTTAGTAAATCAAATTTCTCTAACTTTTGCCTTAAATCCCACATTTACTAAATCTTGGTATTAGAGAAATATAGAAATTCTGGATTTCAGAATTTACAAATCTTTTACCAAACAGACCCAAAAGATGCCCTTCATAAACCCACTGAAGTTGAGATATGGGCAAAGAAAAAGAAATTTGATGTTAACTTAAACTGCCTGCCACAAGCATAATTACTTTGAGTAATATTTAACACCTATTTTTTCAATTTAACTTGATTGACATTTATAGCAAGCAATGTTGAAATAAAAATACACTGAGGCAAAAAAAAACTTGAGACAATAATTTAAAGGGACATTTGCATATCTCACACCTGAAATTTTATATTTACACACGTAGCAGTCAAATCATTAAAATCACAACAAAAATAGCACTATTACCACTTTATAAAAGTGAAATACACCTTTTCATGCATGGGTTTATGCATGGGTTTAAAGTATCAAAGCCTTATGCATGTAAATATGCAAGTTTAGGTGTGAGATGCAAATTTCCTGAATTTAAATTACAACTCCACTGATAATTTATCAGAATATAATATTTAACTAACTCAAAACTCAGACATGGCTAAATTACGTATCAAGCTTTATCTCTGAGTTCCATTATTAAAACAACATAACCATCTGAATAAGAAATCATGGACAACTATAGCTGATTCTTCAAATTCAGATGGTGAAAGTATTATTCATTAATTAAATTTCAAATCTTTAGTATTGCTTATGGACGAACATAAACTCAAAAATAAAGAATTTGCACAATAATAATCAACTGACTGTATATTTCAACAAGAACAGAGCATAAGAGGAAAAATAGTTCTAGCAGAGAAAAAAAAAACAGAAATTTACAAAGATACCGCACAATTCATTTGTATTTACATATAAGTAGATATTTACATTTATAACACTTTGGTGTCAGGAACCTATGCATGAAAAAAGTGTATAGTTAGTATAAAACTTAGGTATTAGATATGTAAATGCATAGGAATTATGTGGTATGTATGTAAATGCCCTACAAAATGGTGCTTACGTTTTCTTCATCAGCGCCTTCTCAGCATAACGCTTCTTCGCAAACATTTTCCCTTTGATACCAAGAGCCTACAAGCAAAAATAACAATAATAAAAATTTAGCAAGATAGAAAAGAAAACAAATATTTCAATGAGGAACAAAAAAAAAAAAAAATCAACCCTTTGGGCAAAAGCAGGCCTTTCAAGGGACCCCCCCACCCCCCCCTCTTCCGCTCGAAATGATCAAGTCGGTAGCCATGGCGTTTCCGATGAAGCTCAATGTAATCACCTTGCGGCTGTCGATGATATGTATGGCGTTAAGGAGATGAAATTGATACAGGGGAAGGAAGTTTTACAGGTATCGGGTAAACTGAAGGCTTACCATGGCTACTAGGGTTCGGATAAGAGGAGAAAGATAGTAGTTTCGGAGCTAGATCCCTTCGCTGCCTTCCCAACTGTAATGGCGACTTCTATTGCGAGTGTTCGGTCGCGAAGGCGAGGGTTTTGGGCGGAATCGGTCGACGGGCGAGGTATGTCGGGTAGGGTTTCGAGTAGGAGAGGACAGTTTTCTGTCTTTAATTTAATTTTATTGATTATTAACTAATTATTAATAATAAAAAAATCTAAATGATATAAAAGTGTACCACTTTTGATTTGTAGGGCTGTCAAAAAGATATTTATTTTTCAATAATTTATATTCGACTTATTAAAAAGTCTATGTTCGATTCATTTGCTAAGTTAATAAGTCGAATTTACAATTTTTTGTGTTTTGACATATAAATGAGCTGAACACGGACAAAAATTTATTCGTGTTCTGCTCGTTTTAACTCAAAATAATTATATATGTATATATATATATGATGAATAGTATTTTTTTAAAATTTAATTGACTACAAAGCTACAAAAATTATAATCAATTAAAATTATTATTTAAATGAATAGAACTAAAAATATTAAATTACATTTGAATCATGTTTTAATATAAATAATAAAATTTAAATCTCGTCTTAATATTTACTCTCATACGGTTGTGTAACTAGAGTTGTCAAAACGATTTTTTGTTCTTGAACAGCTCATGTTCGGCTCGCCAAGCAAACGAGCCGAACACGAACTTTTTAAAAAATATATATAAACAAGTTGAATATGAACAGTCGTATTTGTTAACGAGCCGAACACGAGTCGAGCCAGGGCTTGCGCTTGTTCCGCTTGTTTGCACCCCTATTTGATTGACACAATTTTTATACATTATGATGGCTTATTTTTTGTACCACTCTGTGACACCGATGTTGATTTCTACACCATTTGGTGTCTCTTTATCCTTCGTGTCGCAGTACCATCTCAAAATGTAAAGTGAGTTAAGAGTTGTCAAAAAGTTTTAAAGTTGTTGAAAAATTAGGGTGAAAAACAATAATCGACTCAAATCCAGAAGAACACGCATATTTTACAAGGTTCGGCAAAGATGCCTACATACTCGGGAGAAGAGCGGGACTTCCTTTTCAATATTCAGAAAATAGTACAGAATACAAGATTCAGAATCTCAGACTCTGAAACTCACCTAGGGTTATAAACATGACATATATATAACCATATAGTACAAAATGTAATTACTTAAATTGCCCATGTACCAAAACGCGGGGTGTTGCACCCGCACCCCCAACCCACATAATGAAACTCACCCGGTTTGACAAATCATTCCTCTCCACTACGTTTGTGAGCTCCGCTCCGCTTCAGCATTTGTCTCATTCATGGTATATGAGTCATACCTACAAATCTCAACTCTGGCGAATATTCAGCCCCTTAGGAGAAATACATAAGTCTAACAAATCTCCACCTTGACAAATATTCAGCCCCTTAGGAGAAATACATAAGTCTAACAAATCTCCACCTTGACAAATATTCAGCCCCTTAGGAGAAATATATCATGGAGTTTCTTATGCACCAATGTGAGTTGGGCCACAAATTCTTTCCCTTAATTAAACTTTTCCAGAAATCATTTTACTTAAACTTCCAATAAAAGCTCTTATTTCCTTCATGAGAAGCTCTGTCTCCGCTTTACATAAAAGCTCATTTTTCCTCCCAGAAAAGCTCCGCTTTCATTCTCAGAAAATCTCTGTTTTCGCTTTCTATAAAAGCTCATTTTTCATTCCAGAGAAGTTTCGCCTTCAAAAAATGCTCTACTTTTCTTCTTAGAAAAACTCCGCCTTTTAGAAAAGCTCCTGCAATTCTGGAACATGCGCCTGCAATTTCGCGTCCTGGAATATCACAAAAGGGCAAATACTTATTTCCTTCCAATCGGGCAGCCCCCACTTTTCTTTTCCGAGTGCAGCAACAGATTCCCCATTTTCTATGTCCTGAAATATCTCTGGAATATATTGACGTTGAATTTCCTTTCCCGCAAACTTTTTTTTTTTGGCGTGAATTTCCCTTTCCACATCCTCCCTTCCAATTCTACTACTTTGTCGCTCCATCCGCCCAGGAACCTACCTCCCATGCCGAACAGCTTCTGCTCCTGGGACGCCTGAAATAGCCGCAGCCCTTTGTCGTCGAACCGTGACAGCTATCCGCCAAAACCCGTGAACGCCTCCAACGTGAATTCCCACGTCGGCACGAAACTTCGTGTGAAACTCCTTCTGAGAGCTTCTTCCTCGTGCGAGCTCCTTTGTGAAGCATGGGTTCCTCCCTCACGTCGCGACCACGACGGTTTGCAAACTCCCGTGGTTGCGATTCGCGAACTTCCTTTATGATCTCCAACAGGTCGCGAGCTGCTCCTTCACCCTTCGCGCGAACTCCTTGTATGAGCTGCTTCGCGAAACCTCTCGCATGTCGAATTCCTTCAGCGCAAGTCGCCATCCTTCTCAATCAGCGTGAAAACCCTTTGCGTCTGGTTCCGAACTCCTCTGCGAAAATTGTGTCGAATTCACCTGCTCAACCATCTGAAGCCCGAAGCCCCCTTCGTGGTTCCGTCGATCATGGAAGAACGAAACCCGCACCTTCGTCTTCCTTTGAACTTCGCTGAATCAGACGCCCTAGCCGCTGAAATCCTCAACCAAAATCTTCTTTGTTCCTGCGCCGATGTTTTCTTCATTGCTCTATAACATCGCTCTGATACTACTTGTTGAGAAATTAGGGCGAAGAAAAATGAGAATCGACACAAATCCAGAAGAACACACAAAGATTTTACGAGATTTGGCAAAAATGTCTGCATCATCGGGAGCAGAGTGGCGACTTCCTTTTCAATATTAAAAAAAACTACATAATGCAAGATTTAGAATTTCGGAGTCTCAGAGACTCACCTATGGTTACAAACAGAACATATATATAACCCTATAATACAATATTTAATTACTTAAATTACCCTTGTACCAAACCGCAGGGTGTTGCCCCCGTCACCCTAACCAACATAATGAAATTCCCTCGATTGGACATATCCTTCCGCTCCACTCTGCTCATGGGCTCCGCTCCGCTCTAGCATCTGTTCTATTTATGATATATGAATCATATCTTACAGAAGTGTAGTGAGTTAGAAACACCTCAAAGCTTTTTAGTGTAAAATGAATATTAGAGTTTATATTATTTCAATAATAAAATAAAATAATTCGTATAGAAACTTCAAATACACTTTAAATTTATGTTTGGGGCAGCTCAATAAGCTGCTGATAAGCTGATTCAAAAAATTTGCTGATAAGCTAGACATAGTGGCTATTATAAATTTTTATTTTTTTGAAAAAACTAAACCGCAGCTAGAAAGCTCCAAACGCACCTAGATAGGTGCGGTGTGAAAATGTTGTTTTCAGCATTTTGAAAACGCATAAGCTGCCAAAACGCAGTTTGCCCTAACAGGTATGGTGCGTTTTCAAAACACGACCGCACTAAATAAGCTGCTCAAAACAAGCTGTAAGTGAACTACCAATTAACCACAAAACTTTCTATTTTAAATAATATCTATGAATTTGAAAATGGGTAACCCAACCAGGAACACGAAAAAAATATTACCTCAGGAGTACTGATGCATCAGTACTCAAATGAGGAGGTGACACGTGACATTATTTTGGGATCATTGCATACGTGGCACCTCCTCATTAGAGTACTGATGCATCAGTACTCATGAAGTAATATTTTTTTCCAGGAACACAGGCCAGTAAGGTATTTTTGTAAAATTTTATTAAAAAAAAGGTATTTTAAATATTTGGAAATAGCATGAATAACTATATTCCTACATATTCAATGTGTATCACATGCAAAACACATGTTCATGAGCATGCAATAAATATTTTTATTTTTCTTATTTTTATATGTTACAAAATTAATTAAAAATAAAAAATAAGGATTTGGCAACGATCGGATTGAACCACATGCAAGAACAATACCATTGTTACATGAATTTATTTATTTATTTTGTATTTGAGATATTTTCTCATGATAAATAATTAAAATAAATAATATGTTAATTATTTAATTTGGAAATTATATGAGTAAACATGCAAAGAATAAATAAAGATCTCCAATAATTATAGAACATTGTTATTATTGTAACATGCAAGATTGAATTGTTTCCAAATTTATTTGAGATATATTAATAAATTTAATAAATATATATATATAAGTTTTTTTACCATTAAAATTATGAAAAAAAATTTAAAAAAAATCATAATAATTTTGAGAGGTTCATGAAAGCATTAAAATGTCATAATTAACATGGTATCATTTAATTAAGACAAGAATTATTAGATTTTTCCGGCATAAATAAAGAGTTAGAAAATTCCTAATTTAATATGCAATACTCACCAAGCCATAAGAAATTTAATTAAGAAGTTTTTAATGTGATATACTTCATACTCGAGAGAAAATATTACGTGCGGACATTACACGTCTGAATCAAACAACGATCAGGACGAGCTGCCATTCACGACACCATTGCTGCATCTCGATCGTCATCCGGGGGTGTAAATGAGCTGAACACGAGCTGCTCAGCTCGTGCTCGGGTCGTTTATATTTCGAGCTCAAAAAGTGTGTTCGTGTTCGACTTGTTTGCTTAACGAGCCGAACACGAGCTGTTCACGAACAAAGAATCATTTTAACAACCCTAATCATGTAGTCATAAGACAATAAGAGTTTGAGCAAGATTTAAAAATTATTAGTTATATTAAAACATCATTTGAATCTAATTTAATAATTTTTATTCTATTTTCTTAATCAATATTTTAATTGGTTATAGATCTTTCTAGTCTTGTTAGTATTTCGAGCCAAAACGAGCCGAACACAAACGAACACATTTTAGTTTGTGTTCGGCTCGTTAACTCATCGAACGAAATTAACGAGTCAAACACAAGCTTCTTAACTAGTCGAACACGAGCTGTTCGCGAACAACGAGCCATTTTGACAGCCCTACCGTCATCCAGACGTACAATTAGTCGCACAATGGAGCCTGACATTTTTAGAAAAAAAAAAAACATTGATTTTTAGCAAAATTAATATAACAAATATTTATTTCTATTTTTTCCAAGGCATGAAATAGGTTGAAATTTGCTAGATTTTATTATTTCCTATATTTATTATATATGAATTTGTATCTTAGTAAAGT